TTCCGAATCAGTTCTGCAGTGGCACGAGAGAGGAACTTGCCTAGGGACATTGTTGTAACTTTTGTGAGATCTAGGTTGAAGGACCAAATTCTAGAGCAATGCTATCATGAGAATGTACAACATGACAGGAAAATAATAAGAATTTACAATGATGTCCCTATGGCGGTTTTGAAAAAAAGACAGGAATATAGATTATTGACACAGGAACTCATTAGAAGGAAAATAAACTACTTTTGGGAGAAAGTTGAAAGAGTTTCTTTCTTTTTTAAACAACATGGATACAGAATAAACTCAATTCCAAAAGCAAGGGATGTTGTGAAAAGACTTCAATCAGAAAAAAGCGAGGTTGGTCAAGCAAATAAAGATCTACAAGGTACAGAAGATATACAACAGGCTGAAATGGATCTAAATAATGACCCAACGAATGATAGAAAAAATAAATATTTGAAATGGTTTAAGAAACAAATAAAGTTCTTACAGAAGAGATAGTGAGGAAAATGAAATACGTTAAACAAATACATTTTGAATCAGCTAATAAATCAGGGAAATGGTTAGCTCACAGGTTAAGAAGAGAAAGAAGTATGAAAATACTGCAGTAAAAGACAGTGATAGATTGGTTAATCTTCAAGAAGATATTGAAAAAGCTTTCTTAAATTATTATACAACTTTTATACAAAGCAGAAGATATGAAGTCTGAAGAAAAAGATGAATATCTTGACAAGAAAAGATTGCCAAAATAACTGAAGATCAACAAAAGTTATTAAATGCAGCATTCTCAGAGAAGGAAATAACACAAGTGATCAAAAATTTAAAGATTGTGAAGGCACCAGTTTCTGATGGATTTATGGCCTGGTACTACAAAAAGTTTGAAGATGAAATTAAAATTCCTCTCTTAACAACCTTGAATGACATGGCTAACAATGGAATACCAGATACCTGGAAAAGTGCAAACATCACATTGATACTGAAAGAAGGCAAAGATGAGAAAGATGAGCTAGATCTATACCTTTATTGAATATTGACTACAAAATAATGGCTTTAATTCTGACAGATAGGTTAAAACATGTTCTAAAAGACTATGGGCCTGAGTCAGGGCAGTTAAAGTCATCTCAAACTGGATTATTTCTGGCATCTGCATAGGTCCTATATTAGATTCTGGTTTTCTGCTAAAAAGACAAAAGAGAAATAACATCTGTCTGATAATAGACCTAATTGAATATTATGAAAAAAAATAATGATTAAAAAGTAGCACTGATCTTCGCTGATGCAAAGAAAGTGTTTGACAATGTGAACTGGATGTCTATGTCGAAGATACTTATAAGGATGGAAATGGGTCAGAATTTTTGTACATGGATAAATGAAATCTACTTAGAACAATCAGCGCAACTGATAATAAATGGTAACAGAAGAAACGAGATTGAAATTCAGAGAAGGGACTCCTCTCTCCCTGTTATTGTTTATAGATATATTAGAACTTTTATTAAATGAACTAAGATGGAATGACAACATTAAGGGAACAAAAATTAATGATTATGAATATAAATTACAAGCTTTTGCAGATGACCCTTGTGATGGTGCTCGAAGACCCAGAATGGCAAATAAAGAATTTATTTCAAATAATGGAGGAGTTTGGGGAAATATTCAAAATTAATAGAAAGAAAACTGTTAACAAAAAATATGAGCAAAAATGAGGAACTTCATTTACAAGATTTGACAAACTATTAAATTAAAAATAAAGTGGAATATCTAGGAATTTGGCTAACCAAAAGAAATGTATATTTATTTGAAAGTAACTACATACTAAAATGAAAAGAGATTAAAGTGGATTTAGAAAAATGGAATAAGCTACAGCTTACATTGACGGGGAGGAATAAAGCAATTAAAATGGTAGTTTTACCTAAAATAATTATTTTGTTTCAAAATATTCCAATAATACATAGCGCAAAACCCTTCCAAGAATGGAATAAGGACTTAAGGAAATTTATATGGAGTAAGAAAAGACCAAGTGTAAAATGAGAAATAATGACGAAAGATGAAAAGGAAGGAGTGTCCCAGATCTAGAACTCTATCATCAAGCGAATGCACTGAACTGGTTGCTGGACTGGATCTTATTAGAAAATGTGAAGTTACTGAATATTGACGGTTTTAACCATCAGTTTAGATGGCATGGCTATCTATGGTACAGTAAAGCTTCAGTACATAAGAATTTAATCATCATGTAATAATAAGATCCATGTTGTATGTTTGGAATGAGCTCAAGAAAAAAAACTTATAGGAAAATACTGCTGTGGGTCTCTCCTTGTGAAACTTTTTGGGGAAGATGGACAGTAATTAAAAACTGGCTAAGATACAAGGATTTGCTTTAAAAATCTGACACAAATAAATTTGAGTTGAAACCTATAGAAGAGTTGTAACAATTAGATCCAAATGTACGTTGGTTCCTATATATCCAATTTAAAGAAACATTTAAAATGGACAGTAAATTAGAGGATTTTGGAGAAGACTCAAAGAAACTGGACATTTTAATAAGTATAGAAGGAAAGAAGACTGCAAAATTATACAAGATACTACTAAGTAGAAAGCAAGAAAGAGATCCGATTACAGATAATAAGATAAAATGGGCTACAGATGTAGGGACTGTCGACTTAAACAGTTGGGTATATGCCAGGGGGGAAAAATGGAAAAATTCACCCAATCACCAAGATTTCAAAGAGAACTATTGGAAAAAGAGCAAAGGTGGCATTTAAATCCCCTAAAAAATGGTAAAATATTCAACACCAACTCTAACAAATGCTGGAAGTGTAAACAAAATATTAGATTGTGGTTCCACACATGGTGGAGATGCCCGAAATTAAAAATATTTTTTGGGGAAATTCGTAATATGATACAAGAAATTTTGCAAATTAATTGTGAATTAAGGCCAGAAATTTGAGATTCAACCTCAATTAGTGAAAAAATATTGGAGAGTCTTATTATATATGATTTCAACTGCTAGAATATTGGCAGCCCAATTGTGGAAAAGGAAAGAATTACCAACAGTTGATGACCGGCTCATGAAATTGTTAGATATGGTGGAAATGGACAAATTAACTACTTGGCTAAAACAAAAAGATACAGAAAAAACAGAGGAGGAATAGTAACAGAATATTGTAAAAAAAGATGGTAATAAAAAGAGCAACTATTAAAGGGAAATATGTTATTTTAGGGATAAGGGAAAAATGATACCTAGGGAAAGGGGTTAATATTGAGAGACTCTGTTTATTATTTATGGAAAGAAAAAGACAAACTGGGAATAGTATACAGTCGGCTCTCCATTTTCATGGGGGATCCATTCCAGGAACACCACCACCACCACCACCCCACAAAAATGGAGATTCGCAAATTTTCAAGCCTC